GGAACAATAGCAGTGCCAAAAGAATTCAACCTGAAGCGACATCATGAAAGCCAACACAAGGATTTCCTTCTGCAAGGTACGGAACGCAAACGGAAAATCGAATCGTTATGACGATCACTAATCAGCCAACAAAATGTGTTCAAGAAACAATCTGGAGAATTGGATGCGGCTGTTGAAGCCAGCCTAGAAATATCTGCTTTAATAGCCAAGAATGGGAAACCTTTCACAGATGGCTATATGATAAGAAAGTGTCTTATCATTGCAAGTGAGATGTGTCCTGAGAAGACAGTGTTTTCAAACAATCAGTCTTAACCACATGACGATACAACAAAGAATCTCGCAAATTGCATCAGACATCGCATTAATCACTTGGAGTTCCGGCCCCCAGTCAGTAAACTTAATCCTAATTTGTTCCTTCTTCAGAAAAGGTTGTGCATCCCTGAATAAGTATTCTTCAAATAGAAACTTTCTTTTAGAAATCTAAAAATTGCTTCTAAACTTTTAAAACCAATTTTAGCTATCTGAAAGAAATTGTGTGTTGTACAGAATTGATTTGACAAATTGTCTTATAGTAAACTATTAATAAGCAATTTTATGAACTAGAATTATTTCAGTCTGATATATTTAAAATTTTAATACATTTTATTTTAATATTACTATTAATAGGTATATACTTTTGGTCTAAATGATGAATGTCAGTTAGGAAGGACTACCAATGATGAAGAAGCTAGCACATTGTATAAACCAGGGAAAGTTGATATTCCAGAAAAAGTTGTGCAGATTACTGCAGGAGAAATGCATTCTGCCGCACTTACTGAAAATGGAAAAGTTTTCATTTGGGGTACCTTTAGGGTAAGAGTTTTTAAGTTGTTTAGTATATAGAATCAGGTTTCTTAAGACAAATTTAAAAAATGTTTAATTCTATTATAATTACAGTATGCAGTCAAACCCATAACAAATTTTTCCATAAGAAACAATATAAAATGGATTAATCCATTCCCAACCCCGAAAACAAATCTTTTTTTATTATTTTAGCTGTATTTAATGCATAAAAATGCCTATAAATGCAATATATTATCTGTATGTATATATTAAAAGCAAAAATGTTCTATTGCCACCAATCAAAACCGAAACTAATACTTTACAAAGAAGTGCTATAAATAGACCCAACTCTGACTACCTGCATGAAATATAACCAAATCAATCAAGACTGACATGTACTTTATCCACACTTTCCAAAATATTATATTTCAATTGATTTTATTTTATTTTTGGTTTTGGTATAAAGGCCAGAGTTTTAATTATTATTTTATTATTATTAATTTTAAATAACTGGCTATTTAGTATTAGAGTATTAATTATTCAAAATTTTCCAGATAGATTTAAAACATTATGAAAGTATGTTTCCAAACAGCCAGTACTGCTAATGTTTTTGCCAACTTTCTCTTCAGTGTTTGAGACCACAGACAAATCTTCCCAAAACATATTAAAGATGTTCCAGGTCATTAATACTTCTAATCCAAATTGCACATGTTCTTTCATCCTTGTGAATGTATATGTATTAAGCATGCAATGCCATAATGTTGTAAATGCCAAAAAACAAACTTTTCAGGAGAGGTAAAAAAATTTCTTTTAGTGAATGAATTCATTTCCATTTTACAATAAAATGGTAAAAAAATTTCTAGGTTACAAATTCTCTGGACTATCCAAATGATATAAATATAAACTGCAATGTTTTATGCACCAAAAGTTACATGACTTGCACTTCGGCATTTCAAATATTGTGGATTCATATAAATTTAACTATAAAATACAGCCACTTACGGAGCCAATATTGTCACAGTATTTTTTTGCAGCAGAAAACATTGTATTTAGAACTCAATTCTTCAATAAAACATATTTAGAGAAAAATCGCATTTACAATGTTATGGAATTGCACACTTCATATGTTTTCCTTGATTGTTCAAAGGAACCAAAAATTTTTATCTACTTTTATATTTTTTGTCATACTGAATACTCTTCTACAAAAGGTAACAAGTGCTCATTACAAAACTTCTGTGTTTGTCATTGACAATATCATAATCATTAGTTCAGTATTCTTATTTTTTCAATGTTTTTTAAAGTATATTGTTAATTTCCTCACTATAAAACTTCACAATTATTGATCAAGAATTTGTTTTATTGAGTTGCAATTTGAAAAAATTGTAGACCTAAAAATTCCCACTGTTGTCAGTCTGTCTGTCTTTCCTTAATATTGAGAACAGAGTTAGATAGATTAAAGATGAGACAAGATATGGAAACCTTGGGGGCAGGTGGCCTCAATTAACTATATATGAACTTCTGATACAAACTGGAAGTCATGTTGTTTCAATTCAAACATTTTCCCTAGAAAAGTGTTAGATGACCGGTACAACTCTATTGCCAGTGGAAGAATATGGTGTACAGCAGTGTTTCCCAACGTGGGACCCACGCCCCACAGGGGGACAATTCAAAAATGGACTCATCCAGAGTTTAAGTTAACTGTATAGCCACTGCATATGTTAGGGGGAGCATAAGAATTTTAGAAATGCTTAGGTGAGGCATAGCACAAAAAAGGTTGGGAAACACTGGTGTACAGGATCAAGCAACTACTAATTTGTGTGGACTTCCAAATTAGTAGTTTGTGTACTAATTAGTAGTTTGTACTTGTGTACAAATTAGTAATTAGTAATTGTGTACAAATTAGTAGTATGGGTACTAATTTGTGATGTACGAAGTGGAAAGCATATATTTTAAATTAAGTAAATTAAAAATTGCAGCCTAGCATTGTGATGAAGTTACAGTAAACAGTTGCTTGCTAAAATAATAATGCATTGATCTATTTTTAAAGCTTTTTATTAACTTACTCTGTCTTACTCTGTACAAAATATTCTGGTGATTAGTAAAGAATCTCAGAACCAATGGAAAAACTGTAACTAGAGGAATAAAGAATGATAAAGGTGAAATAACAGAAGAAAAAGATATTCAAAAGGTATGGAGCAAATACTTTGAACAGCTACTGAATGTAGTGACAGATTTAGCTGAACAAGATAAAAGTACTGATATTTTGGAAGTATCGGATCCTCTTTGTTACAGAAGTGGATAAGGCCATCAAAAACATCAAATATAGAAAGGCCGCTGATGTAGATGATATCAGACTAGAGATGCTAAAGTATGTGGGAATAACAGTAATATTTTGGTTACATTACATGGTTCAAAGATGTTGGTCTGAAGGGAAAATTCCAGAGGATTGGAGAAGAGCTTTAATTGCATCAATTCATAAAAAAGGAAATAAAACAGAATGTAGTAATTATAGAGGAATCTCACTCCTCAGTGTACCAGCTAAAATTTAAGCCAGCATTTTAGAAAAAAGGGTCAGACAATAGTTGAAAGTGACGTAGGAGAAGAACAGACGGGCTTTTGACCAAATAGAGGATGCCAGGATCAAAAATTTACACTAAGGCAATTGACAGAGAAAGCATGGGAATGTAAGAAGAAACTATACTTGGGATTCATTGATATGGAGAATGCATTTGATAATGCCTAGATGATTACTTTTTGAAGTTTTTAACCTATTGGATGGTCAAAGTTTTCTCCATTGCATGTGATGCCATGTTGACTTTTTGTTGATGTTAAGCCTAATGAAAATTACACGTTTTTGAAAAGAATAATTGTGGCTATTGTATCATCTGAAATTATTTTTTTTTATTTTGCACAAACAAAATAGATATATTAATAAATGTAATAACCAAAAATTATATTTTGAAAGTTAGTTTTGATATAAAAATTATAATGACTAGCAACATCTAGTTTCAAAAATGTTCTGATGCTGAAATGAGATATCTTGGGTCAACTGGTTGAGGTCAGAGGTCATGACCCCAAGATATCTCAGGAATAACACAGGTCAGGTTAAGAAATATGGCATCAAGGATATTCTACCTGGGAATCCAAAGCTTGTATAGGAACTGCAAATCAGCTGTAAGGATAGGACAAATAGGTGACTGGTCCCAAGTAAAACTAGGGGTGATGGAAGGATGTATAGTACATTGTCCCCTTTATTATTTATAATTTTTATGGATAATTTAATAAAAGAATCAAAACTATGACTGACTACAGTTTGAGAAATATAAAAATTGGTTCTTTACTCTATGCAATAAACCCAAGGATTTCCAGCAATCATTAAATAATTTAGAGGAAAGTTGCAGGAATTTCAGTATGTCAATCAGCTGAGAAAATGACTGTTATGGCTATTAGAGAGGTTGCGGTCAATGTTTTCAGCCCAACACTTGAACATCAGAAGTCGAGTGCCGATATCTGGCAATTCTAGAAGGTTCACTAGTCTAGCATGGCAAGTAGAAGTTTGGCTTAAACTTCATTTTTTTGTGTTTGGGGTTAAAATTATGACATATTTTATTAAAATAATGATTATTTAAGCATTTATGAATACTATTGTAAAGAAACAGACGATTTTAATCCAGAAATTATTTAATTATTCAATTTTTTTGCAAGTGATGTGAAGTGCCTATAGAATTTACATATATTTCTGTTCATAATAGCTGATCATAATTCTGTAGGAGTAAGTTTGTTCTTTCATTCTTTCACAGCATCTCCTACCATCAACAGCATAATACATTTGTAAATTTTCTAAAAATAATTTTCCAAGTTGCTTTTGGACTTACATAAGCCACTACTTCCCTCAACAAAAGTATGAGGTAGTCCTATTGTACGGTAGGAGACACAACACTAATTAAAAATAATTATTTAGTGTTACTAAACATCTTATAAATACTTTAAAATAGTTTAATTTGTTTAGTTACCTTTGCTGGTAACATTGTCATCGTTAAACGTTTCTGCCATTTTTCAACAATATCCCTTGAGTCAGTGCGTGATGTGAATGTTTGGCACAATATGTTTTACTTGAAGTTCAAACGTCAAATGTATACTCCTGCTTGCCGTACAAGTTTAACGTTTGAACTTCAGCTGCACCCGCTCCATTAGTAGAGAGAAAGAGACTTTAATAGTTAAACTTGGTATGTTAGTATGTATACAAAGATTTAAAAGTATGTACATTATCAAGTATTACAGTAGATGCAATGATTTGGGTAATGAAATGCTTAGAACATGTCAATAAGTTCTCATACTTGGGAACAATCTTTAGCAAAGACAGAAAGTTAGATTTGGAAATTAGCAATAAGTTAAATAAGGCAGGTCAGGCAGGGAGCTAATTGATCAAATATATCTGAAACAAGAAAGAAATAAGTCATAAGACAAAACTAGCTAAATTTTTAAACCTATATTGACATATGGTTCTGAGAGTTGGATGAGAAATAAGGCAATTGACAAAAATTAGAAACAGCAGAAATGAGAGTTTTTAGAAAAATTAGTGGTGTCAATAGATGGATACAGTGGCAAAATCATATTAAAAATGAAGACATAAGGAAAAACCTTAAGATAAGAAATATTCAGTCAAGAGTAAGGAAGTTAATCTGAGATGATTTGGTGATTTGGAAAGAATGGGAGAAAATTGACTGGCCAAACAGGTATTTGAAGCTAAAATCAAAGAAAAAAAACTAAAGTGACAATGTAGATGAAGGTGGATTGATAGTGTTAAGTAGGCTTTAAAGGAAAGGAAAGGAATTGAACTTTAATCCAGGCTAAAAACTTGTCTGTTGATAGGAGAGTTTGGAAAAAATATATTGGGTGGTAGTATAAAAGTTTGATTTTTTTACCATGTTGACCTGTACTCCCTCTGGATATCAGCAGGAATTGATGATGATGATATATATATTTTTTCATTATTAATTACTCACTTGTATGTAGACACTTTTTTGTTAGCCATTATTTTCTTTGATTGCTCTGAGGTCAGACCTACCTCCTCACATATACTGTAGTAAAGTTTGGTCAAAGGGTTTGCTTTGCAGTAGTGCCGAATGTTACTCTTTGGTCTTCTTGTAGAAGAAAGTAAGCATATATCAGTGTAGCTTCAACACCATTCTTTGTAACTGTACTGTTATTTTATTGAAAGTTTTGTTGATCTAGTATGTTTTCGACCATGTCAATAGTGGTTTCACTAATTTCTGTTTTGAAAACAAAATCTTTAATGTATGCTATTTACTCATATCAGTGAATACATTTAATAAATAATGGTAATTAAAATAATATATTTGCTGTTCTGCAATAACTGGCAAGTCACATTTCTGTAGCAGAAATAGACTGTTCCCTCACTGTTTAGTATTGACAGACACTCTTTTCCACATTGAAAATTTCTGTCATAGACAGTGTGACCAGAGGGTTGGCACCTCTTTAGTGCCTCGTCAGGACTGTCAAGTTCTAAAACTGCAACAGGATCGGAACAGTGATCGAGAGATCAGAGAAAGGCAGGCGAAGTGGTCTGTGATTGAGCACTCCCGTCAAAAAAAAAAAAGAGTTGGATTGGCGGACTCTCAATGACCCCTCATCCTTGAATCACTCCTTTTTATATCCTCAAGACACGTTATCTTTTTTCACCAATCGTGAATTTGTGCTGTTAGTTTCCAGTGACACATTCGACGAGTTCCCCAGTAAAGGAAATGACTTCGAGGAGAGAGATGTGATCATCCTCCGGTAATAAAATTAGAAAACTTTTGAAAGATGAAAAAATAAGTTTTCTCACCCAATTTTCATCAAGTTCGACCCTCACATCAGGGTTTAAGCAGGATACAACATTTTTGTAGCATTTTAGCTAATTTTATTTAAAATGTTGTAGCAAGATTTTAAAAACTGTAGCTAACATTTCTTATCTGTGACATTGTCCAGAAAATACACAATACGTTATTGTTTAAACATTTGTTTATTCTCATAGGTACTGTACATTATTACAGTGTACTGCACTACCAATATAACCATAACTCTATTGCAGAGGTCCCCAAACTTTTTTGTCTCTTAGACCATGTGCAAATTTTTTCTGTTTTGGGTAGACCTCCACATTTCTAATATTGAATTGTTACAAATTCATCAACTTCAAATATGTTTCTGACAGTTGACACAGTGCTACTCACTTTGGTAGGTTTAAATGTAGAGTGAAAAAGTTAAAAGAAAAGAACACATGTTAAGTTTTATACATTTATTAATTAAAACGACACAAAATGCAAATCTAATAAAATTATAAGTGCTTTTAATGGGAGCCTGATGCTTTAATAGCAAATTTTCAATATTTGGCTTCAATTTAGTAAGCTGTAACCTTAAATCTCCTCAGCAGGTGATTTCCAATCTGTTTGTTTTTTTGTAAGGAGATTGGCAACCATGCTGAAATCCTTTTCCACAAGGTATGAAATGGAAAAACTATCAAAAACTTTCTCACAATAGTCCATAATGCAGGGTATGTAACAGGTATGTCTCTCTGAAGCCAGAATTGCTGATACAGTAGAGTGTCGTTTATCCGAATCAATTGGGGACTGGGGTTATTCGGATAACTTATTTTTCGGATAACCGATTGTGTATGAAAAAATATATTAACCTATCCCGTGTTGAAATTTTTCTCCATTGTGTATCGCTTTGCGTTGAATTTTTGTCAATGTTAAGCCTAACGTAAACTTTTTAAAATAATAATCATGGCTATTGTATCGTTAAAAATGATTTCTTTATGTTTTACAAACGAAATAAGTACATTAAAAAATATAAAAACAAATAAAAATTATACTTTAGGCCAACTGGAATTCTTTCGGATAAACGACACTCTACTGTATTCCTTTCTAAACTGCACCTTAAGTTCTTTGTTAGTGCTTATTCCAATCAGTTCTTGTAATATGACATCCGTTTCTTCAGTGTCTCCATATGGATTGATAATCCACTGTGGTATTTCCATAGTCAATACATCTTCAAACCTAGTTTCAAAGTCTGTGTGAAGGACATTTAAATGTTGAACGTAGACTGAAAATCATCCTGGCAGTTTGTGACAAATTGAGAAACTGGGAAACTTTGTGCCGTCCAATGTTTTCCTTCATTAGTTTCATTCTGGTAAGAAAGGCTGAAATGATGAACTTTGTTTTTATCAAATTTAGACTGTCACCTTGAAACTGCAAGTTAACCTCATTAAATTTAGTGAACAAATCTGTTAAATAAACAATGTCTGGTTTCCACTTAATTAAATTTTTTTTTAAAATTGGATCGTTATCATCCAAAAACTCTAAAACTCTCAAAAAGTGAAAAAAATCTTGTCAAACATAAGCCAGCGTACTTCAGTGTGAAGGAGCAATCAATGAAAGTTCTCGTCATTTTCGTCACACAGCTGCGCAAATAACCTAGTAGGTATGTAATTTTGAGGCCTGTGACACCTAGGATGAATTAGACTGATAGAAAATGACAACGTAACACGAAAGCAATCAACAGGCTCGCTGCCAACCAGCAATCTAGGATAGCTATCACCAACACAAGGGTTACTGATGTAGAGCACAATTGCATTATATCTTACAAACCATCCCTCCAACAAATTTATAATAGAATTACTAAGGATTTAAACTTGCGTTTAACTTATAAGAGAAAATGCAACATTTTCCAGCTCTTATCTAATGCAAAAGACAATTCCGATGTCAAGAAAATGCCAGAAATGTACCACATTCCATTGCAGGACAAACATTTCAATAGATGTATAACATACATCGGATCCACGTACAGATCACTAGAGGCTAGAATACGGGACCACAAGTACGATGTATCCAAGGGGAGGTATTATACTGCACTAGCCCAGTATGCTACTGAACCCGAAGTTTCTCCTTGTTGGGATGAAGCTACTCTTTTGCACAGGGCTTTTGACTGACACAACTTACATTCATTGGAGGCTCTTGAAATTTATATAGCAAGCATGAAGGGAGTTTGCATTAACTCCGACTATATTCCGGTTCCACAATCATGGAAGTATTATTTACAATGCCACAAAGCATAACAATAATTTTTTATGATTAATTATGCATTTATATTTATGCAATGTAAAGGATACAATTTCCTTTATTGAACATCGTTTATACATTAAAACATTGGGCTAACTTTTACGTCATATATTATATTAATGAATTTATGTATAGCTTTATTTAAACAATAATTTATTTATGTGTTGTAATACATAACGATCTTTGTATTGAGCATCATTTAAATTTTTAAAAAATTGAAACACAGCTACATTTGAAAGCTAAAACTTTTTAAAAAATAGAACTATTTTTTCAGTTTTGTACATTCTTTCCTGACAAGGGCCTCTGAAAGACTGCCGAAAACATTTGAACATTAAAATTTATTTGTTCATTATATATGCTGGAATTCGCATTTAGGTGTCAAGTTGTTTGTTTGCTTAAACCCTGCATAGAGTTTTGAAAATACAGTTTAGGAAAACATTAGTATATATGATTATTAAATTTTTGTAATAAATTCTAGTTATAAATTGGAAATAGCTTTTGTATGTAACAAAAATGTTTATAAATTTTTTTTTTTCTTTTTTACATTTTGACAGTAACATTCAAAATTTTGCTAATGACTTAATTGTTTGAAGTTGAATTATTGAAGAAGCAGTGCAAATTGAAATTGTAGCAACAAGAACAAATCCAAGTTTATGTACAGTTGAACTCGGTTATAACAAGCACAGTTATAACTAAGATTTCCTCATTATGTCTGTAAACAGCAGTGATGTAACTTGGAGGATTTTAAAAATTGTATTTGCTGCCTTAGGTGCAAACACATAGGGAATGCCTTGAGGATAGCAAAATTTGTAGCTATGTTACTGATAATTTGTGAAATTTATCTTTTAATTTTTAATTCTAAATAAGTTGATTCAAAAACAGAATATGTACTTACATTATACTGTGCTTTTATTAATAGTTATATAAACTACAATATAATTAATATTTTCTAGAATGTGGATTATTTGTATACAAATACTCCCCAAGTTAAAGGTTAAATTAATATTAAACAATTTACTTTTTCAAAATTAAAGATAATACTAATTAATAGTAAGTCCAATTTCAGTTAGTCTTTTCATCTACAAATCTTAAAACTGATTATTGCTTTATTTTTTCATAATGTTGATACTGTTGAAGATGAGAAAGAAAACTTTCTATACATTTCAATGTTTTTAGCACCACGTTCTAACTCTTGAGTGATTTCTATTATTTTGTACATTGAAAGAAATTTCATTTTCTTTATAGACTTTTTCTCATATAAGGGTTTGTTTCTAACTAGAGTATACTGTAAATTTTACAATCGTAGTGATGAATAGGTAAATTAGCAAAGTAGGTTTGAATGCTAGTCAAGAAAGAGGGGGATGGTATCCAAAAAGAAAGTTAAGTGGTAAATAGGCCTGTTATCCATACAGGTCGTAAAACTAATTATCTAGTAAAAATCATCAAAGGTCATAAAAAAGTAACCTTTTCAGTTTTATATATCCTAAGAATTTGATATTGCATTTTTTACTATTTGAACAATAAAGAATGTTTGTTGTGTTTGCATGGCTACTGAAAATTTGATATATCCGTGAAGTAACCTCATTATAATTGTGAGAAAATGTATGGAAATATGCATAAATTAAAATTGTTATGATGTTTTGCTTGTTATAACTGAGTTCGATTGTATTTATTTTATTTTCAATTAAAATTGATTTTTATACTACATTTTAATAATTTTCCATGTTTATTATTAGGATAATAGTGGTCAGATTGGTCTCACTTCTGAAGGAATGCAGTCTTTTCCCATTCAGATTTTATCCAATAAGAAAATTGTAAAAATTGCTTCCGGAAATAATCACTTTGTCTGTCTGTCTGAAGAAGGAAAAGTGTTAACTTGTGGAGTTGCTGAACAAGGCCAGCTGGGTAGAATTGCCAGTCAGTTTGCTGAACGTGGTGGTCGGCATGGTATAGGTAAATATTTAACCAGTTTTTTAAAATTTCATCTAAATGTTAATTATACAGGAATTATTTACTGAGAAAATTTTTAAAAGTTGCTATTACAACATTTTAAAAACTTTTGCGATCAAATAAATTCAACAAAATGTTTTCTTTTAATAAAAGAATATTTAAAAAATAATTATATACAGAGTTATTCATAAGTTTGTGAAACACTTTAAAAATTTATTATTTATGAAGTACACAACATAAATTATTTTTAAACATTTAAATAAGGATAAACTCTCCGAGGTTTTTTTACATGAGTCACAAATGTTTAATCGTCTACCTTTGCTGATGTGGCAGACATCTAGTTGATAATCCATTTCTTCCCATGCATGTGTCAGCACTTCAATCTCTTATAATTTGGAATTTGCATTTGGTTGCAAGATGCCAACTTCTAAACCTGCCGGGGCTACACTCATAGGCTTGAACACAAACTATAGTTTGCTCGCTGGGCCCTGGAAGTAGAAATGTGCAGACAGCCTTTATCCTGGAATTTCACATACCATTTCAGGAAAGTGTCAAACACAGGTGGCACCTTACAGAATTCTGCTCAAAATTATCGTTATACAGTTACAACAAACTGGGTTCTTGCATATTCCAACACAAAATGATTTGTCACATTTATTTAGTGCCATACTTGTGTAAAGTACTATATTATTTTTCCGACTTTTCCAACGATTATCGATACTACTGTGTGCCGGAAATAGCCGTTCCCTAACGGGTACTTTACGCGGATTCGCGTTAGTGTGCCAGGCCTGGACTTTAAGCGTGCACCGAATTAAATAACGACAAAGTTTGTCAATAACAAAATCAAATTTTTAATTAAACTTCTAGTAATAAACTATATACAGTATGTGGTAAAAATCAAACAATAATTTATTCAATGAAATTCAACAAGAATCAAACCGAAAAACTCAAATCAATCTATTTCTAACTTAATTCTATTCCCCTTTGGAATTCGACAAAATCAAAGAATTAACTTATAAACAATAATTCTTATAATTTAAAGATCCTAATCATCACCTCAATATACTAGCAGGGGTGCACAACCTGCGGCCCGCGGGCCACATACGGCCCCTTATCAATGTTTATGCGGCCCGCCGGACTGTACAGGCCAAATCCCTTCTTTCCTAGTTTCTAAGTGTAGAACATTTCCCTTTCACAAAGTCATTAACACCCAACTGTTTTATAACTTTCCCTGAAGTGAGAAATGGGGAGTTAGCTAGAAATAGACCTATTTATAGAACAACACTTTCTGGTTTAGATATCGAATATTTTAAGTCTAATACATAGTATTATAACGATTTTTGAACAATCAAATAGAATAAAATGATGTTAGAACGTCATTTCTGATGTTATCAGGAAGTTTCTATTTTGGCGGGAAATCTTCAATTTTATGCTTCGGAAAACTTGCTTNTGTGAGGTGACGTCACAATTCTGAATGAGATCACTCTCCTCATTTACATACTTATCTGTAACATTAAATTTTTCTCGTTTATCTGGCAGCTTATTTTCCAACAATACTTCGCTAACCTTTTACATTATTCTTTTTTAACAATTATCGGGATGCTTTATTCTTTTAAGATTTAGCGAATCCTAACTGGGTTGTGGGGTCTTCCCCCCCCTTTTCGTCGGTGCGGACTTACTTTTTTCCGCTCGGGAAGCGCAAGTGTGTGCAAGTTTTTCTACGGCGCTTTTCTTTCGTCGGTGAGTTGGTTTCTCTTCTATTTTTAAGTTACTAAGGTGAATGGTGAGAAAACCTTCGTCCTAACAAAACATAAGCCCCCCAAAAAAATAGAATAATAAGCAAAATAAAAGTAAATAAAAATAACATTCGGACTTGGTTCCTTACACTTGTTGCTATTGTCTCTTAATGACAAATCACAGCAACTATGCATATGTACTGTACTATTCCTGAAAAAACTTGGAGTTTACCTGTATTTCAATGTTAAAAAATATAGTATCTGTTGTGTAGTTTACAAATAATAAATTTTTAAAATGTTTCACAGACTTATAAATACCCAGTATTTACATATTGTGATTCTCAGTGACTAGGGGATGTTGTTCCAAACTTTTAGATCAACTCAAGAACCTGATCACATACACAGACACCAAAATAAACTTTTCACAAATAGTACAACAAAAATTCTGTTGGCTATAACTTGCCAGTAATGGTGTTTTATATTTCTTGATAGTTTTTCTTGTACCACCTACAAATTTTGATAATCCTGATTTTTATAACTACATTGTATCATTAGTATTTGTTTTTATATGGAACATTAATTAATTAATCCACTTTAATGCTTGCTTTTTTAATTTTCCATTTTTATTTCAATCAACTGTCTTAATAAAATCTTTTGAGAATTTCATTCTTCTCTTCAGTATAGTAGCTAAATACATTGTTAATTTAGTTATTCTTGAGACATGTTTAGTACATACTGTACAATATATATCAAATACTTCATTTATTCATAATGATTTCATGACAGTTTTTTAAAATTAAATACTTTTAGAAAACCAACACTGAATTAAAATTAAAAACTTATAAAATATAAGAAAAAATATTAATAAGATTGATTCTAAACTTCAAAAATCTATATTATATAATTTACAAATATACTTTATAAAAATAATTAGATCTAAATGTTTATGAAGCTTGTTACAAAAGAATTTGACAGTTGAGATTTTCTCTTTCATTTAATAATTGCCTGTACTTATTTATTGCATTTAACACTGATTGCTTAACAATAACACTTTCTAAATCAGGATCATTTTCAATCTCATTTAAGCACCTTTTTAAATCTTTGATTGATGATACTTTTTTAATAGGAACTTTAATTTTGTGTTCACCTTCTTTGGTTTCATTGCCAACAAGTTTTTCTAAATCTTTTGTCGAAAAAACCATCATCTTTTGCATTTAATTAGTTTCTTACATCCTCTTTGTTGACATTTCCAAAACCTATTGATTGAACCATATTACATTATAACTACACATTCGTCATGCAGACTACACATTAAAAAATGTTAATATCAACAAAATTATTTAATAAAAATAGGAACTTGTTAACATGGCACAATAGTATGGGTAAATAAGAACTAAATAAGGACAAAATATTTAGGAAATAAGATTACATGCAGTTGCTACATATGTTAACATTATGGGGGTTGCAAATTGCATTTTTGCATTTCATACAATGGTGTTTTGTCATTTGTTGACCTTCCGATGGACATAAATAGCATATTTTATGCAAATTCGATGCAGAATGAGTAAANAAGTAAATAAAAATAACATTCGGACTTGGTTCCTTACACTTGTTGCTATTGTCTCTTAATGACAAATCACAGCAACTATGCATATGTACTGTACTATTCCTGAAAAAACTTGGAGTTTACCTGTATTTCAATGTTAAAAAATATAGTATCTGTTGTGTAGTTTACAAATAATAAATTTTTAAAATGTTTCACAGACTTATAAATACCCAGTATTTACATATTGTGATTCTCAGTGACTAGGGGATGTTGTTCCAAACTTTTAGATCAACTCAAGAACCTGATCACATACACAGACACCAAAATAAACTTTTCACAAATAGTACAACAAAAATTCTGTTGGCTATAACTTGCCAGTAATGGTGTTTTATATTTCTTGATAGTTTTTCTTGTACCACCTACAAATTTTGATAATCCTGATTTTTATAACTACATTGTATCATTAGTATTTGTTTTTATATGGAACATTAATTAATTAATCCACTTTAATGCTTGCTTTTTTAATTTTCCATTTTTATTTCAATCAACTGTCTTAATAAAATCTTTTGAGAATTTCATTCTTCTCTTCAGTATAGTAGCTAAATACATTGTTAATTTAGTTATTCTTGAGACATGTTTAGTACATACTGTACAATATATATCAAATACTTCATTTATTCATAATGATTTCATGACAGTTTTTTAAAATTAAATACTTTTAGAAAACCAACACTGAATTAAAATTAAAAACTTATAAAATATAAGAAAAAATATTAATAAGATTGATTCTAAACTTCAAAAATCTATATTATATAATTTACAAATATACTTTATAAAAATAATTAGATCTAAATGTTTATGAAGCTTGTTCCAAAAGAATTTGACAGTTGAGATTTTCTCTTTCATTTAATAATTGCCTGTACTTATTTATTGCATTTAACACTGATTGCTTAACAATAACACTTTCTAAATCAGGATCATTTTCAATCTCATTTAAGCACCTTTTTAAATCTTTGATTGATGATACTTTTTTAATAGGAACTTTAATTTTGTGTTCACCTTCTTTGGTTTCATTGCCAACAAGTTTTTCTAAATCTTTCGTCGAAAAAACCATCATCTTTTGCATTTAATTAGTTTCTTACATCCTCTTTGTTGACATTTCCAAAACCTATTGATTGAACCATATTACATTATAACTACACATTCGTCATGCAGACTACACATTAAAAAATGTTAATATCAACAAAATTATTTAATAAAAATAGGAACTTGTTAACATGGCACAATAGTATGGGTAAATAGGAACTAAATAAGGACAAAATATTTAGGAAATAAGATTACATGCAGTTGCTACATATGTTAACATTATGGGGGTTGCAAATTGCATTTTTGCATTTCATACAATGGTGTTTTGTCATTTGTTGACCTTCCGATGGACATAAATAGCATATTTTATGCAAATTCGATGCAGAATGAGTAAAAGCTTCTGCACTGGGAACATTACCTAGAATATCCTGTATCATGGTTCTGACATCACGCCTCAAAGGCACTGTCTGTATGTAACTGCTGTCGTAGCCGGGACTCCATGAGTTTGTCTCCCATCTTCATAAAGAAATCCCGCCAGAACATCGGGTTTTTTTGTTTCTAATATTATTAGAGACATAGATAGCATAGCTGTTGATTGCCAATAGGTTTAGCATATTATAAAACATGCATAGTGG